GAAGGAGAGAGAGAGAAACATGGATGAGAGAGAACATTGACTGGCCGCCTCCTGCACGCCCCCCACTGGGGATCAGCCCACAACCTGGGCATGTGCCCTGACCAGGAATCGAACCAGCGACCTCTTGGTGCAGGGTCGGCGCTCAACCACTGAGCCACACTGGTCGAGCCATTTCAGCCTTTTAAAGAGCACAGTTTTTTGGCATTAAGTACAGTGACAATGTTGTGCAACTGTCGCTATCGTCCATCTATGAAACTTTTCCGCGGTCCCTAACGTACCTCAGAATCATGAGGCTTCGTGTGCTGTTTCCCTCGAGGCTGAGGTGATCGTGCTAGTGGTGATCGATGGCTAGGTGACATGTCACGCTTTCTGGACTGCCACGGACGGACGCTGCTCGTACACACCCGCGGGCTGTTGCCAGGCTCTGGTTAACCAAGAGGTGGTAGTCGTGGCCGAAGACACAGCTTTTGTTCTTCAGTTCGAATTCCTGGGACAGCATCGCTCCCCAGACGGTGCCTCCGTCTCGTCGAGCTGCCGAAATGAGGCACCGCAGCCTGCGTGCTTACCCAACAGACATGTGCTTTTCTGAGATCATTTATTCTCTCCCAGAGGCTGGGGTCCAAGACCAAGGTGGCAGCAGGGCTGGCTTCTCCTGAGGCCTCTCCTTGGTGTGTGCACACGGCCCTCTGGGTCGGCCTTCTCCCAGTCCCTGTGCTGGGCACACAGCCCTCTGGGTCGGCCTGCACCCGTCCCTGTGCTGGGCACACGGCCCTCTGGGTCTGCCTGCACCCCGTCCCTGTGCTGGGCACACCGCCCTCTGGGTCTGCCTGCACCCGTCCCTGTGCTGGGCACACGGCCCTCTGGGTCTGCCTGCACCCCGTCCCTGGGCACACGGCCCTCTGGGTCTGCCTGCACCCCGTCCCTGTGCTGGGCACACGGCCCTCTGGGTCTGCCTGCACCCGTCCCTGTGCTGGGCACACGGCCCTCTGGGTCTGCCTGCACCCCGTCCCTGTGCTGGGCACACGGCCCTCTGGGTCTGCCTGCACCCCGTCCCTGTGCTGGGCACACGGCCCTCTGGGTCTGCCTGCACCCGTCCCTGTGCTGGGCACACGGCCCTCTGGGTCTGCCTGCACCTGTCCCTGTGCTGGGCACACGGCCCTCTGGGTCTGCCTGCACCCGTCCCTGTGCTGGGCACACGGCCCTCTGGGTCTGCCTGCACCCGTCCCTGTGCTGGGCACACGGCCCTCTGGGTCTGCCTGCACCCGTCCCTGTGCTGGGCACACGGCCCTCTGGGTCTGCCTGCACCCCGTCCCTGGGCACACGGCCCTCTGGGTCTGCCTGCACCCCGTCCCTGTGCTGGGCACACGGCCCTCTGGGTCTGCCTGCACCCGTCCCTGTGCTGGGACACGGCCCTCTGGGTCTGCCTGCACCCCGTCCCTGTGCTGGGCACACGGCCCTCTGGGTCTGCCTGCACCCCGTCCCTGTGCTGGGCACACGGCCCTCTGGGTCTGCCTGCACCCGTCCCTGTGCTGGCACACGGCCCTCTGGGTCTGCCTGCACCCCGTCCCTGTGCTGGGCACACGGCCCTCTGGGTCTGCCTGCACCCCGTCCCTGTGCTGGCACACGGCCCTCTGGGTCTGCCTGCACCCGTCCCTGTGCTGGCACACGGCCCTCTGGGTCTGCCTGCACCCCGTCCCTGTGCTGGGCACACGGCCCTCTGGGTCTGCCTGCACCCCGTCCCTGTGCTGGGCACACGGCCCGCTGGGTCTGCCTGCACCCCGTCCCTGTGCTGGGCACACGGCCCTCTGGGTCTGCCTGCACCCCGTCCCTGTGCTGGGCACACGGCCCTCTGGGTCTGCCTGCACCCCGTCCCTGTGCTGGGCACACGGCCCTCTGGGTCTGCCTGCACCCGTCCCTGTGCTGGCACACGGCCCTCTGGGTCTGCCTGCACCCCGTCCCTGTGCTGGGCACACGGCCCTCTGGGTCTGCCTGCACCCGTCCCTGTGCTGGGACACGGCCCTCTGGGTCTGCCTGCACCCCGTCCCTGTGCTGGGCACCCGTCCCTGTGCTGGGACACGGCCCTCTGGGTCTGCCTGCACCCCGTCCCTGTGCTGGGCACACGGCCCTCTGGGTCTGCCTGCACCCTGTCCCCGTGCTGGGCACACGGCCCTCTGGGTCTGCCTGCACCCCGTCCCCGTGCTGGGCACACGGCCCTCTGGGTCTGCCTGCGCCCGTCCTGTTGGGTACCACCCCTGTGACCTCGCTCAGCCCTGTTTGCCTCGTCAGAGGCCCTGTCTCCAGAGGTGGTCAGGGCTTCCTCGTCTCAGCGTTGGGAACACACAGTTCAGCCCACAACAGAATAGGAATGTTTCATGTCTCTTTATTTGAACTGCCAAATAGTTCTCAGTTGTGTCAAGTTTTATGTCACTCTGAGTCACAGGGAGTAGAAATGTCACCCATCACAGCTGCTACGTCACCTCCTGTGACATTCACGTGGGAAGTCACACCTTCCGGGGGGACTTTGATCTTAGAAACATTACGTATATAGACTGTGGTGTGTAGCCCCTAAACTTTTCCCATTTTCGTATCGAATTATCATTTGCAGAATAGCTTTGGATAGATGGAAAGAAGTTTTATTCATTTATTTTTGTTACAGATGTTTCTCCCCTCCCATGCACGCCCCCCCCCCCCCCAGCATTGTTGTCTGTGTCCATGGGTTACGCATACATGTATGCAACTTCTTGTTTTGTTTTTCTTCAATTTTTATTACTTTATTTTTGTTACAGATGTTTCGAAAGAAGTTTTAATTAAGCCTTATTTTTCGTTCCTTGTGTGAGAGAGTGCCACTTGGTATAAACCTTTGCGGGGAAGTTTAGCAATGCTGATTAAAATAAAAAATCATAGACTCTGAATTCTGGAAATGGGTCTGAAAGCTATAGCCGTCCACGTCCGGAATATTAAATAGGGAAGGTTGTTCCCTTGACGGTGACTCGGGACAGCAGGTGTTTGGAACACATACCCCAGATGTCCATTCACAGGTGCTCGGTTGAGTAAAATGTGGGACGTCCACCCCGTCCATTTTGATGTGTCTGTGAACACAGACAGGAAGCTCTGCAGGTGCCGACGGAAGGCTCTTGGACATCTGCTGGTTGTATAAGAGGAGGGGTACGTACGAGAGAGAGAATCACGTATTCCTGTTTGGGTATATGAAATGCTGGAGACGTGAGACACTCATCACAGTTGGTTAGAGGAGGTGGGCTCTGGGACTTGGGTGTGAGACTCTTTACTTCTTTTGATTTGGGGATAATGTGAATATATTGCTGTTACAGTAAAATAAAATGCGTGATCATGTTTTTATTTTTTATCTTTCTTGTTTGAATTCTAATATGCATTTTATTCTGCCTTGCTGTTTTGGAAATTTTGACTTTGTTTTCAGTATGTGGTTCTTCGGCTGGTTTTTTAGGAAGAATAACTTACATACAGTCACCATGTCCCATTGCTGCGAATGTAGAAGAGAGTATAATTGTAAAGCAGTTTACTTTGGGGAAAAAAAAAAAAAAAAAAAGAATGTATGCCTTTGTTTATAATGATTAAAAGGCTGATACATAAATGTGGAAATAAGAGACATTTTAAAAGTAAAATAGTTTGAATAGGTAAGTGTTTTGTGCCCATGGTTCAAAGACCAAACATTGATTGAGAAATTTAAAATTAAACTATCTGTTATTGTTAGCTGCTTGTTTAAAAAAAAACAAACTGGTTTTTGCTAAATGTTTGCATTTATTTGATTCTCTGTTGGGGCACTATGCAAATATTTGCTTTAAAAAAAAAAAAACTGTGAAGGTTTTTTTTGCTGTTTTTTTTTTTTAAAGTAAAGCTGAGACTTTTTTTTCTAATCATTCTTAATTTTTATTACCATTTTACATCAACACACCAACAAGCAATTTCCTTTTATTGTACATTAATCACAAGGATCAAGGAATTACAGTTCACATTAAAAATTTGTGCAGTTCCAGCATTTCACCCTGGTGGTAAACTTGGCTAATTGCTTACACCTCCTTCAACCTGTGTAGTAATGGTTAGACTCGTGAGCAGTAACTAAGATACTGATTCTCATTTTGCTTCTCCAGAGTACGTATTTTATTTTAATCATGTTGCCACTGTCTGCTAACCAGGGTTGGAGCTACTTGTTAGCAACTGTTACTGACAAACTTGCTACTATTTGAGAATTCCCAGGGGATGAAAGGTGATCCTTTGCTAGAATGCTTAGAAATTCCAACAGGTTTTTTGTGGACTAATTTAAGTTTCAGGTATGACTTTATCTCCGTCCCTGTTGTCTTTCTCCTTCCTTGTCTTCTTTTAACTTGTTAGTATGAAGATGCTACGGCAGATCAGAGGAGCACCCTCGCTGCCTGCCTCATTCAGAGCAGGTCACAGTCGCTCGCTCTCGACACACGTGTGCTCACGAAACTGGCAGCCCGGCCAGAGCTGCTGGATAGGTCATTTAACTGATTCTTGCAATTTTCCACTTAAATACATTACATGTCTCTGAGTATACATACAGAGTTTGCTTTCTGAAGATGCGTGCTCTGAAGATGAAACATGAATAAGGGTTACAGTGTGACTGACTACTCAGCTGTCTGTGCAGCTCTCCCAGGAGGGTGCTCCCCCGGGTGGGTGTGCAGGACGCAAGGGCCGGCAGCCGCAGGGGGAGGCGGGGACCCCCTTCTCCTGACATTTATTCGGGGTATTTAATCCCATCTCACCAGATACTTTCAAAGGCTCTCCTTTCCGGAACCCGCTTGTTGCTAGGAACCGAGGTGCTGTGGGGCTGTGTTGTCAGGCTAAGGAAATCACAGCTCTTTCCGGGACTTGAGTTGCGACCTGATTTTCCAGTGGGCTGTTGGAAGATTTTCAGTCGAACTGATAACGACGAAAGGCCGTTATACGTGACGGACGGACTTACTTCCCTTGCACGTTCTCCTTTTCCCTTGTTTCCTCAGATCGGAGCCTACTTCAGCAGCATATTAGCCGAGAAGCTGAAGCTGAACACCTTCCAGGACACCGGGAAGAAGAAGCCGCAAGTGAACGCGAAAGACAATTACTGGCTGGTGACTGCTCGGTCGCAGAGTGCCATCCACAGCTGGTTCTCCGACCTGGCGGGCAACAAACCGCTGGCTGTTTTGGCGAAAAAGGTATGACCCTGTCCCTGCGCTGTTTTAACGACGGCCTTGCCGACGTGGGAGCTTTGAGGGAACGTTCGCGCGCGTATTTGTTTCCCCAGCTGTCTCCAAAGCTCGAAGCCTCAGGCCAGGCACACTGCGCCCGGCCCGGGCTACCCAGGGCGGCTCCCCGTTTGTTTGGGTGGCACGTGGTCCCCAGGACGTCCTTAGACCTGAACACCCACCAGGAAGCGGTCCACATGGACTTCAGGTAGACGAGGGTTTTACATCAGAAACAGGCATAGGACCCGATTTCTGTTACGTTTCCCGGTTACTTTTTTTATTTTTTTAAAATTTTTTTGTTACAGATATTTTACCTTTTTTACCCCATTGGCACCCCCACCCCACCCCACCTCCGCCCCATCCCCGGCTTAGTTGTCCATGTCCATTAGTCATGCATACATGCATATAAGTTCTGTGGTTTATCTCTTACCACCCCCCACCCCCTCTTCTGAGGGATGTCAGTCTGTGCCCTACTTCCATGTGTCTGGGTCTACTGTATTCCTCAGACTGTTATGTTCAATATATTCCGTATATAAGTGAGATCATGTGGTATTTGTCTTTTTCTGCTTGGCTTCTTTCACTTAGGATAATACTTTTTAGGTCCCTCCATGTCGTCTCGAAGGATAAGAGATCTTTCTTTCTTACAGCTGCATAGTACTCCAGTGTGTATTTGTACCACAGCTTTTTTATCTGTTTGTCTACTGATGGACACTTGGGCTGTTTCCAGATCTTAGCTATTGTAAATAGTGCTGCTATGAACATGGGGGTACATATATTCTTCCTGATTGGTGTTTCAGGCTTCTTAGGGTATATTCCCAGCAGTGGGATCACTGGGTCAAATGGAAGTTCAATTTTTAATTTTTTGAGGTAACACCATATTGTTTTCCATAGCGGCTGCACCAGTCTGCATTCCCACCAGCAGTGTGCTAGGGTCCCCTTTTCTCCACCGTTTCCCGGTTTCTTAGCCCAGCCTGTCCGAGGCGTGTCACGCAGAAACCCTTGCCTCAATGTGCCTTCTTTGCCTTGGAAAGACCCACGTGCTTGAAGCTGTCTCCTTCCCAACAGAAGAACCCAGATAGTGAGGACGATTCTGTGTGTGCTGGAGAAACTCCTGTGAGAAAGGTTTAGAGCAACGTGGGCAGGACTTTATGTATAGCTCCTGGCATTTTGGGGGTGGGAGGGAGGGAGGGTTCTTTTAAAATACCGCCTTTGGTCATTTTCCGCAAGTGGGAACTAATACGCAGATTCAGCAATCTTAACAATGTAAACCGTCTCGGAATTTAGATGCGAGCCAGACAGCTCCCCGTCAGTCTGGATCCCTGACTTCTTGCACCCCTTTCAGGGAGTCCTGCGGGTTTTTCTGCCCAGAACCCTCAGTCTCAGGGGGCCCCCTCTTCTGTCCCTGGTGCTGAGTTTCCGTCGGTTGGCAGGTGCAGGCCCCGTTCTGACGGAGCTCCTTGGTGAATCTGCTTGTTTGATTCCTAAGCCACACTTGGAAAGAGCGGCCGTGCTCCCCGGCCTGCACCCTGCCCGAGAGTCATGGCCGGGCGCTGCCTTCTGTGGGTTTGGGGGTTACAGGCATCTACGGCCTTGAAAACCCTGGTAGTCGGCACAGCCGCCTCTTGCTGCTCAGCCAGAGCCCCGGCCCAGCACAGCCTGGCGTGTGGCACTTTGTCTCCACGAGTGGACACGCACCACCAGGGCCCACCGTGGCCTCTGCGTGGCCTCTGGACACCTGCAGGTCCAGGGACATCCTTCCATACTTGTTGGCTTTCTAACCGGAGTCCATACTCCGCGTTGGTTAGTGCCTTCGGCTCCCGCGTGGCCAGCCTGACATCTTTCTCTTTGGGTTTTCCTTTTCGAAAGCTCTCGGAAGGGTTTGTGGCTGTTTCCCGGGAGGAAGTGCTGCCTGGGAACGGATGCCCTTCCCTGAGGGGTCGGTCTGGTCTTGTGGGAGGGGCTGGGCCGTGTGCAGGGCGTTAGCATTGCTCTTCTCTTTTCACTGGGAGCAGCCTCTGGCCAAGGCAGTGTCCCCCAGGTGAGCCCCCCCGATACTTTTAAAAAAATGTTTTCTTTATACTACCATTGAATAGACTTTGAAGTCTTCAGTTCTTAGGCATCTCAATCCCCGCCCCCCCCCCCCCCTTCAGCATATCATCTTCTTGAGATGGCGAAATCTCTCTCTGAGTTGGGTAAAACCCTGGCATTTTCTACAGGCTCTTCATGTTAGAAAGTTTAAATCCTTCTTTAGTTTCTGGGATTGATCAGTGAGAGGGCTTTAATGCAAAAGACCGTCCTTTTCCTGCTGAGATTCCGAGTCATCTTCCAGCTCCGACCAGGGTTCCAAAGCCGTCCTCTGTGGGCTGGGTCAGGCTTCTGGACGTGGGCTCTGTGACGGCAAAGCGCCTCAGCACGCCAGGCACGTGGCGAGCGAGGGGTCCGCCATCGCCCGTGAATGGCTCTTAATCCAGTCGCCGTCAAGGCTGGATTTGGGAAAGGAGACTCGGGCCCCTAAGGGACCCCTCTAGCTCTTGAACTGTTCTCTGGTCCTCCCGTGTTCCGCCGGTGGCCGTGGTCTGTGGCGGTACCACGGACAGAGAACGCTGATGGTCACGGCATCCGAGGGAAGAGGTGAGGCAGGGCTGGAAAACCATCACATGCTGAGTGTCTCAGTTTCCTTCTGGTCTTGACATGTAGCTCTGGCTTGATGTGGGCCCCAGGCAACTGCCAGTGATTGTCCAGGTTCAGCTCCAAGTTCAAGTCTTTGTTGAAAATAGACTCCATCACTGCAAGGAAGTCATGCTTCACTCAGGGTAAACATATCTTCCTTCCTGAGTTGGCCCTTAATGAGGAAACTGTCCTCGCCTGTGTCCTTGTGCTCGAAGGCCCTTGGTCTGAGCCAACCACTTCTTAGGGCTCTGCTGTAGGAGCAGGGGCCGGGGGCGGGGGGAGCTTTGCCTCCTGCCGCTCGTGTAAGACCGGTGGCCTTGTTTGCTTTCATCTCCACATTCCACGTGTTCCAGTGTTCCTGTGTTTCCTCCTGCCACTTCTGTTCAAAAGAAATCCTTTGGGCATCCGCAACATTGCTATTGGGGATGTTTCTTTGGAGACGCCGACTTCACTCTTTGCATTTGCCCATGTTTCGGGCCTTGGTTTAATCAACTTTTGGTATGGCTGACGAAGAGGCTTTCCGACCCCGACGGCAGGAACTTAACTCGCTGACGCCAAGCTGTGTGTTCTGCGTGAGCAGCAGCAGCTTGGCTCTGGAGCCGAACATTGAAGCCTGTGCTTTTGTCTCCGGCTTAAATGACGGTGAAGCCGAGCCTTGTGCTCCGTGAGGGGTGTGCCCTGGAAGCTGCATTTTCAAGACATTTTCTTGTGAAAATGTCTGGCTGTGGTCTGTAGAAGGGAAGCCTCTTACAGCTTTGGCCTGTGACCTCCAGCTCCCTTTCAGTCAGCGCTGTGTGCAGTTTGCGTCTTTCCTGGGGGTGTGCTCTTCTGTCGGCTCCCAAGGCGGGAACTACACAGGATCAAGCCTATTGAATGGCCTGTAAAACACAGGATGTGGACACATTGAATCAGCACCCAAGGCAGGGGGTGGGGGGAATGGACTACACAGAATCAAGCCTATTGAATGGCCCATAAGATACAGTAGGTGGACACATTGTATCAGCACCCAGGGCGGGAACTACACATGATCAAGCCTATTGAATGGCCCAGAAGATACAGTAGGTAGACACATTGTATCAGCACCCAAGGCGGGAACTACACAAGATCAAGCCTACTGAATGGCCCAGAAGATACAGTAGGTGGACACATTGTATCGCAGTGTGCACACAGCCAGATTTCCCTCAGTATTGGAGAAGCTGGATGTTTCTTTGATAAGAACCAGGTGAAGTCAAGTGAAATCAAGGGGCATCGCCCTGTTTTATAAAAGAAGACGTATCTTTTCATTCGGGGGTCACACTTTGTAGCAAATGTAGGCATAGTCGAATTTATAACATGCGTATGGTGCAAAGAATCGACTGACTAAACGAGGATTTGGTCAACTGAGAGAAAAATGCTATGCTCCATGGAGCAGTTGGCTGGTTGGAAGCCCTGATTTCCAACACAAGATCAAGCAAGAGTGTGGCGCAGAGACCGAGGCTCTAGCTGTCCACGGTCGTGGTGTGTAGGATCCTCTCAGGAGGGGGTCAAGTCCATGGCTTGCAAACACTTTGGCTGGCATGGAGACATTTTTGGAACTGGCAACAGAACAAAAATAGTTATAATTTTGATACCTGTCATTCTTTTGCTGTACCCTTCTAAACACTCAGGGATGTCGACTGGGTTGGTGTTATCACATTAACAAAGGAGACGAGCCTGGCACAGGTGGATTTAACCAGACAGACTGGGCTGGGAATGGAGCAGAGAGGTGCCGGGCCCTCCTCTGAGGGCGACTGTCTCTCTGGGTCACTGCTTTAGTCTGCTGGTCCCAGCCAGCAAGCCCCGTCCACTCCAGCTCTAGAGTCAGATGTTGAATAGATTGTACAGAGATGAGTGGCTGGTCCAGGGTGTTTATGCGGACTTCGGAAAGAGTGCATTAACTCTTTCAGACCACCTGGCGGTGCACGGGGGGACTAATTTGCTAAATAGCACCTCTGTGGTCTGGAGGAAATAATTAACCACCCCAAGTGCCTACTTTCCATCAGCGAATTAATTATCCAGCTATTTCTAGCTCCGTGTTTATTAGGCAGACTCCCTGTTCCATCATTTTAGCCTCTATTTTAATTAATAATGAATGTGTTGTCTTTATTGTTAAGAGTATTCCAGCCCTGGCCGGTTTGGCTCAGTGGTTGGAGCATCGGCCTGCGGACCAGAGTCCTGGGTTTGGTTCCCGCTAGGGGCAGGTACCAAAAAAAAAAAAAGAAAAAGTTTTCTCTTTTATTCCAGTTTTCCCCCATTGCCCCTGTCCACAGGCTTCCCGCCCCATCCAGCGCCTCACCACACTGTTATCTGGCTGTGGGTTATGCAAATATGCATATAAGTTCTTTGGTTAATGTCTTCCTGTCCCCTGCCCCATCACTCTGTTCCATACTTCCTTGTCTCTGGTTAAAAAAATAGCCTCTATTTTAAATTTGGGGCTAAAGGCACTTTTAGAAGCTTTGTGGACATTGCTAATTCTTATGAAATGGTACAGTTGAAAAGCTTTCTACAAAGCAGTATCCTTGGATAAAATGTAGCGTGGAGACTGATTTTCACTTGACCTGTCCATTCCAGTGTTAAGATGAAATTCTATTTTTCTTTCTTTTCTCTATTAATTTTAATTTTTATTTTTGGGAGAGAGGAAGGGAGAGGGAGAGAGAGAAAAATCGATGAGCCCTGGCCGGTTTGGCTCAGCGGTTAGAGCGTCGGCCTGCGGTCCGGAGAGACCCGGGTTCGGGTCTGTACCTCGGTTGCAGTTTGTCCCCGGCCCTGGTTGGTCGTGCGGGTGGCAGCCACTCGATGTGTCCCTTCCACATCGATGTTTCCCTCTCTCTCTCTTCCTCTCTCTCCCTCCCACTCTGTCTGTACAAAAAGTGGAAAAATGTCCTCGGATGAGGATTAAAAAAAAAAGAAAAATCGATGAAAAAGAACATCGATGGGCCGCCTCCTGCATGTCCCCCACTGGGGATCAGTCCCACAACCTGGGCATGTGCCCTGACCGGGAATCAAACTGGCGACTGCTTGGTGCAGGGTTAACGCTCAACCACTGAGCCACAGCGATCGGGCTTTTTATCTATTTAGTTGATACGAAGAGTAGCCTTAAGCATCTGACAATTTGCAAATAATTTGTTTTTGTGAGTAGGAAAGCCCAGTTGATACCATTGTGTTGCCAGTGTGCTAAATATAGTTTTGATTATTTTTTCTTAGTGAACATTTGCTTCAAATCCATTAAGGTTATACTTTTTAAAGAAAAAATATAAGGATATGCTTTCTGAAAACCAGAAGGAGTTAAGAGCCTCTTTCTTTTGACCGACGGCGAACAGGTGTGCGATGATCACAGGATGTCATTTCTCCTAGGTCCCCATCCTCAGTAAAAAAGAAGACGTCTTTGCGTACCTAGCCAGATACTCCGTGCCAATGGTCCGGGCGGTGTGGCTGATCAAGATGACGTGTGCCTACTACTCTGCCATTTCCGAAGCTAAAATTAAGAAACGCCAGGCTCCAGATCCCAACGTGGGTAAGCGAGAGAGCAGGGCGTCGTGTACGCTTCACGGCGGGGCCCGGAGGCAGCCGCCCCTCCACCCACCCACCAGGCGCGCCGTCCTCATGGTATGGACGGAGGAGCTGGTCCCTGTCCCTCGTCCCCGCGTCCCGAGTCCGCCAGCGAGGTGTCGAGAGGACCTCAGCCATGTCCTGTGTCTGCAGACTTCTCGCCACCCTGCGGATAGTTTCATAGTCCTTTCCTACCACAGTCAGGGTGAGCGTCCGGATTCCTCCGTGGCCGCCGAGCCCCCGTGATCTGCCCTCTTCCTGCCCGCCCCGCCAGACGGCTTTCCTCCTGCCCTCGCTCCCGTGCGCCCTCCCCAGGGCTCCGCGCTTCTCCCCGGGGCTGGGGTTCGCGTGTCTCGGGGTTCGCGTGTCTGGGTGCCGCCTCCTCCCCGAGGCTTTGGCTCCATGTCCTTTCCTCAGCAGGTTTTCTCTGGACACCTAGCGACAGGTGTCGTTTCTCCCTCCCCTCCCAGGCACAGCACACAGGTTGCTGTTTGAGTCACGGCACGCTTCCCTAACCCCAATGACCTTCAGGGTGTGTGTCCGCCGCCCCCTGCTCGCTCCGCCCTGCAGATGATTCCTGAAAGCCCCCAGGGGAAGTGTGGGCAGTCAGGGCCGCCTCCGGGCGGGACAGGGACCCCGGCGGGACGTGGCACGTGGTTTCCACTGGGAGTGTGCGCGGGCAATTGTGTGAAGGTGTCCTTTTGAACACGAGGGTTACAGATCATTCTTTTTAGAAAATAATATTATTCTTTACTGATTTTAGAGGGAGAGGGAGAGAGAGAGAGAAACACCAACAAGAGATGATTGGCCGCCTCCTGCACGCCCCCCACTGGGGATCAGGCCCACAACCTGGGCATGTGCCCTGACCGGGAATCGAACCCGTGACCTCTTGGTGCAGGGTTGACGCTCAGCCACGGAGCCACAGCGGCTGGACTCGTGTTATATTCTAAATTAATCTGTGATCCCTTGTCTCCACCCACTCCCAGCTGTAATGTGTCTCCGTGGGAAATGTCAGATTGGCGAGCACGCATCTCCCAGGGCAGTGTCTGGCGTGCAGAAGGTGCTCAGCAGTTTTAGGATAAATAAGTGCGTCCTTAGGCACGAAGCAGTCATGTGTGTGTGTGTCTTTTTAATTCCCATTTGCCCCCGGTTCATAGTCCTGAAAGCTATAATGGAGAATCTGTTTCTCTATCCCTTAGACTCTTCACACACACACACACACACACATTTTTTTAAATTCTCACCCGAGGATATTTTCCCATTTATCTTCAGATACAGTGGGAGGGAGGGAGAGAGAAGGAGAGAGAGCGAAACATCGACATGAGAGAGACACATCAACTGGTTGCCTCCTGTACCACCCTGACCAGGGCTGGGGACGAACTGCAGCTGAGGTCTGTGCCCTTGGCTGGACTCGAACCCATGACTCATTGGTCCACGGGCGGCGCTCTAACCGCTGAGCCAAACCCGCCAGGATTCCTCAAATTTTTTCTTCTAGCTTGTTCCTGTCAGCGTTTTCCCTGATGCTGAATTTAATCTGATTTTAACTGTCACAGGAAGGCAGCAAAGGGTGATCATGCAGGAACGATTCTGCCAAATGAAACGTAAAACAATTTTAGGACAAATAAAAGTTTGACAGATTCATCATCTGTAATGAACATGTAGTTAGAGCTTTAGGGATCCCCGATAAGAGGGTATCACCAGAACCATCTGATTTCTTACCGAATGCCTGGAGGGAAGCCCAACTTCAGTTCCTAGGTAGGAGCATCGTAGACTTTTCATTAGATTCGTTACATTCCCATTCATTTTCTTTCCACCGTAACCAGTTGTGTTTCAGTAGGGCTATTTTCTACCCACACAAAGCTAAAATTTTTATTACTTGCACATCCACAGTGGATGGTTGATTAGGCTCACCCACTAGCTATATATATTTTTTTCTTAAGCCATGTAACGTGATTCTGTTTTTTGACTCAGTTTATTTATAGACTGTTACAGTTCATAGGTTTTTTGGGTCATTCACATGTATTAACAAGTGTGAATTTTAAATCCATGAAGGTCAAGTGGCTACTATACAATTTTAATGGTACAGTATAAAAGGTTTGACTTAGCCTGGCCAGTGTGGCTCAGTGGTTGAGCGTCGACTGGTGCACCAAGAGGTTGCCGGTTTGATTCCCGGTTAGGGCACATGCCCAGGTTGTGGGCCTGATCCCCAGTGGGGGGCGTGCAGGAGGCCGTCAGTCGATGTTCTCTCTCATTGATGTTTCTAGCTCTCTCTTTTTCCTTCCTCTCTCTCTAACATCAATAAAGAAAAAGAATTAAAAAAATAATATAATATTGTCTGCCAACTATAATAAAAAAATTATTAAAAAAAATAAATAAAAGATTTGACTTAGCCTGGCCAGTATGCTCAGTGGATGGAGCATCGTCCCAGGGACTGAGAGGTCCCGATTCGATTCCAGGTCAGGGCAGGTGCCCGGGTTGCAGGCTCGATCACCAGTAGGGGGCGTGCAGGAGGCGGCCGATCCGTGTTTCTCCCTCACATCGACGTTCCTCTCTCTCCCTCTGTCTCTAAAAAATCAGTGAAACATATTTTAAAAGGTTTGACCTAAACATGTTGATGGCTGAAACTAAAAAGGCTTTAAAAATGCACCCGTTTCAGGAGCTCACCCCTGGCCCGCCAGGTCTGGCATCTCAGAAAGCGCGCTGGGCTTCTCGTCCCCTCTGCCCCTAGGTGTCGGGGACCCTCCCAGCAGGGGCCTTGGTCTCGGGACATCAGCTCTCTCCGCCTTGACCCCCGTCCGTGTTGCCTTCATCTGTCACGTCTTTTTAGCCTTTTTAAACCCGGAGCAGTTCTTCCCCCTTCAGATTTTTGAGGGGGACAGAACAGCTATTTTGTGGACTGTCCCTTGACTTGCACCTGCCCGGTTCCTCGTGACTAGATGCAGGTGGAACACCAGGGTGCAGTGCCGAGTGTCTCGGTTCGTCAGATCCCACCGTCTCGGAACCGGTGGTGGTACTTCGATCACGGGGACGTGGCGGTGCCACCGGATTCCGTTACTGTTTCCTGCTTTGTAACTAACAAGCAGTGTCACTGTGTCAGCGTCCAGCGGATGTGTTCTGACCCCAGTGTTTCCGATGCGAACGGAACGTACGATCTGTCCCGTGGGGACAGCACGTGCTCTCAGTGACGGATCCCGGTGTCCTGTCAGCCGGCCAGGCCTGGCGTCCCCTCCCTCTGCGTTGCCTTCAGCGCCCCCTCCAGCCGCGTTCCGCAAAGTGCGCGCGTGGACTCACGTGGCTGGAGACACAGCCAGGAGGTCGCAGGCTCCGTGCCCCCAGCAAGCCGGACGGCCACAGGAGCACACACAGACCTGCGTGTTGAATCGCATTCGCTTGTGACACGTCAGAAGAAGCATGTGCAGCAGTAGGTTGCGTCTTCTCGCCTTGATGGTGGAGAGAAGCGCTCAGCCCCTGTGGGCGGGATTGGCGATCCGGCGTCACCCTTTTCCGGGTTGGTTGTACGGCGGGGTTGTCTCGAGGGTTGTTCTTAGGCTTCGTAAAGCTTTTTCGGTAGAAATGGCCTTTATTCCTGGTCATATTTCAGTCCCCACACCCCGAGGAGAACAGTGCTTTTAAAGGGCACTGCTGTCGGAGTGCACCCAAGAGGGTGTTCCCTGAAGGCGAGCGGGCAACAGCGAGGAGGGAGGGGCCCTGGGTGTCAGGTCCGCGAACACAGCGACACAAGATGCTCACCGCCATCCTGAGAGCTGCTAAACTGTCCCGAGTGGGCCGCCCGCAGCTGGCCACCCGCACAGACACCCAGCAGGGTGGGCCCGAGGGGGGAGCAGCCTGGCTTACAGGTGAGGCTTCTGTGTGTCGTTTCAAGCAGGTAAAAAACTATTTGACTTGGATCCATTCTCCCATCAGGGCGGCGATTCTAAAGTAGAGGCGAGTTGGGGAAGCTTGCGGGAAGGGATTGTAGTTTTCGACCGTAGGGACCTAACACACAAACGCAGAGGAGGCGACAGGTCGACACGGAGGCAGAAGATGCTGTCACCTAGTTGAGCGTTGCGGGCTCGAGGGAGTGCGCACCAGGCATCACGCATGGTTACCTTCCGATCGTTTTCAGAGCGGGACGATGCTGAGTTGTTAATTGAACGAGGATGCTTCACTGTGTTCGACGTTTTGAGCTCACCTGCGAAGAGCATTTAAAACGGTCTCGTGAGTCGTTAAAAAAGTAAAACATACGCAGACTTGCATAGTTGAAGAAGGTCTGAGCAGACCAGGAAATAGTCTTTGTAGTAAACAACCCAGAGCTGTGGACATTCACAGTGGGACCTTCCCCGGGGAGGGCTTGTTGCTGAGCCCCCACGACTGGCCCCTGCATTTCCGCTGTCCCTGCTGTCGGTCGGCGCCTCGCTGGGAGTGGTCGGGGTCAGCTCTCCCGGGGTCACGGGTGTGCCCGGACACGTGTCCCCTTCCCTGCCGTCTGCTGGGTTCCATGTGCGTCCTGGTCCTTCCCGATTTGTCATTCAGGTTCTCTGCGAGAGAGACGCTCCTGCCCCGTCCTGGAGGAGGGTGCTGTGTGGATGGCGCCCGGCCTCCGCGCACGGGCCATCTGGGCCCTGCTGGCCGTTCTGACACTGCTGGTCCGTGGGGACAGAGGGGGGTGTAGTTGTTTGTCTTCCTGCCTTTGCTGATACGGGACTATGTCCGGGACTAACAGTGGCTGAATGAAATTCAGGGGGACGTCCGGGGGACCCGCAGAGGCAGTGACGTTCGCGAACAGTAGAGAAGCGCTTCCCGGGAGGATGGGGGGGCCTAGGAAAAGCATTTCCGACCAGTTGACTCGAGTGGAACTGCCGGGATTGTGTTCTCTGTGGGCTCCGACATCCGCGGCCGTGGGCGGTGACGGGAGGCCGGAGAGGGTCTGAGAGTTCTGTCTGCCGGTGACCCGGAGCGTGGAGGGGCCTCGTGCCGCCGTTGTTACAGGGCGCCCTCGGTTCTAGTCTGCAAAACGGGGTGACTGACGGTGCCGTTAGGGATGAAGTGAGTCCATGTGACATTGTGTGTGACTGTGCCAGGCCCCCGTAAGCTGCCGGTGAGCGCGGAGGGGCGAGAGGAGGCAGCGGTGCCCTGGGCTGTCGCCACCCGCCAGCCTCTGGTCTGTGCTCCGTGCCGGAGCCCGAGGGCCGGTCTGCGAGCCGCACCAGGGCCAGTGCGCAGGCTCCCGATTGCCCTCGGCCTGGGAGAGACCCGAGCCTCAGGGCCGGTCACTTGCTGGCACCTGGAGCGGACTCCCTGGAGGGCATTTGCTCTTTCCTCCCTGCGGTGACACGTGTCCTGGGGTGTGCGGGGTGTGGGTCTGGGCCCCGGAAGCATCGCTAGGGAGAAGGGTGCCAGCCGGCCGGAGGCGGCCTGGGGCTGTGGGCGGACGAGGGCTCAGAGTCTCGCTCTCAGGGCGCATGGGTCAGGCAGGAGCGCCGGCCAGCGGCCAGAGAGACGAGTGAAGACGGAGATGAATTATTCGCGAGACGAGCAGCTCGAACCCGGGACGGGAATCGTTGGGTGTCCAGTGTGGTGAAAAGTGACAGGAGGTGCCACGGGCATGAGGTCTCTCTCGGGGGCACGGACGAGAAGCTTACACTGCTCCATGGGTAAACTGCCCAGGAAACCGGCCGTTTGCCCCCCGTGCCCCTGGGGTCTGCGGGCCTGGGGCTTAGACCTGGATGGTGGACTCTTCTAGGTCCACTGTGCTCTGGCCCCACTGCCCTCGCCGCCTCCCCCCACCCCGGCACGAGGCAGAAACAGCCGCCCTGAGCCACTTGGGCTGCAAAAATAAACCCCGCCGAACACACGACCGACGGTCCGGTTTCTTATCTGAGCCAAGCAGCCTTCTGCCGGTTGGGGCCCTTGAAGACACGCCACGCTGACCTCCGATTCCAGGCACCAGCTTCTGTGCTCAGGCCCGGTTCCCTCCGGTTTCAGCGCGTGCCCTGTGTCTCAGCTGCCTGGCCTGCGGGACCTCACCCGACCTCGGACAGAGCGCGGGTGGAAGAGGCTGAGGTGCACCTGTTCCCTCGGCGTGAAGACGGGTTTCCCCCAGGAGGTGGCTCCAGGCGTGTGGAGCGGGCCTGCGGGGTGAGGGCGGGCACCTGCCCCCCTGAGCATCGCTGGGCCGGCCCGCTGTGAGGTCCCGGGGACGCCAGAGAGGGGCGCTGTTCTGTGCAGTGGGCCCCTCCGCTCGCTGAGATAAAGCAGCGTTCTTCCTGAGGGCAGAGTGATTTCTTTTCTGTGCATGACCCGTTTTCTGAGTGAGAATTGCTGTCGTGACACTTACTGTTCAGAAATGAGTGTCCCTATTTTTATTTTTTAATTCTCCTTGGTCATTGTTAGGGGCTCATGGGCTTTTGTTGGTTCAGCATTTCACACCCCGTCACACTCCTCGATCCTTCCGATGTCCACACTGTCCCAAAGCTCTCCAGCGACTGGCGCGGGAAGCCGTGCGGGGTCGTCGACCCCATTCACTCAGAGCACCTGGTTCGAAGGCGCGGACAGCTGGCCCGGCCTCACGGTGCACCTCGGACCCCCGTGAGCCATCCCTCTGCGGAACCGCTTCTTTCCAGTTCAGGAAGCAAGCTCCGAAGGCCGAGGCGCCCATTGCTCTCCGGACGCCGCAGCCCCCAGGCCCGTCCGTGGTGGTGGGCACATGTGGGGCTGCACGTGTGTGCATGCGTGTGTGCATGCGTGTGGGAGGACCCCTGTTCTTCTTCATTTCTTCACTGCTATGTTTATCTCATTTCTGTTACGTGAGCAATCAGTTGATCAAACAGACTAGATTCCGCTGGGAATCTGCTCCAGCCTCCTGCCGGGGAGACGGAAGGTGGGGTGTGTAAGTAACGGCTGGGCGGGAGGGGTGCTGAGCACCATCTCCTCCCCCAGGGAGGCCGGCCGACGGCGCTCAGACCAGGACCGCAAGCTCGTTGTTCAGAGACGAAGGCGCGAACAGGACACAGAGGAGGGAGTTAAAGAGGGTCGGTTGGAGAGGGGGAATGCGGGTTTATGGCAGGAGACTCCAGAATCCAGGACGGTGCCCGCCTACCTTTTCTTTTTATCCTCACCTGAGGATATTTTGGCATTTATCTTCAGATAGAGCAGGAGGGGGAGAAGGGGGAAGAGAGAGAGAAACATCAAGTGGCTGCCACCCACACTACCCCAACCGGGGCCGGGGACAAACTGCAACCGAGGTCCGTGCCCTTAGCGGGAACCAAACCCAGGACTCTCTGGTCCACGGGCCGATGCTCTAACCACTGAGCCCTACTGGCCAGGGCAGTGCCCGTCTACCTTTGACGTAACAAAACGTTTACTAAAACCTCAACTCTGCCCCCAGTTATCATCTTGTCGATGCCTCTCTGGAAGCCCTTCTCCGAAAGTGTGTGTCATGGGAGAGTCGTGAAGGACCTTCAGCGAGCGCCTGGCCGGTAGTTGCTCCTCGGGGGTGTTGAGGTGCTCACTTCCCCCAAGCTGAGGACTCGCCTCTAGGACCTGAGCAGAAATGACGTAGGCATTCTTTGTGGGAAGACAGTATTTTTCCATGTGTGTGGCTGTTCAGTTCACTGAGTGTGTCAAATTTTCTGATTTACAGAGACTAAAGAAAATGTAAAAGCCAGTGTACCCTCTTCACCATTTTAAGGGGGACAGGAGTGTTACCGACGTTATGCACATCGGTGCAGCAGATCTCGAGAACTTTTTCTCCTGCAAAACCAAACACCAGACCCACTGAGTAACTCCCCTCCCCCTCTCCCGCCCCTGGACTTTCCTGATTCACAGAAACTTTTAAAAGTTCTAATCGGGTTGAATATGCTGAACGTACCTCTGTGTTTCTCACTGTTCACCATGGAAACGTGTTTCAGCTTGTTTTCCAAAGTAACAATGTTGCAGCTCCTTTTCCGTGTTAGAATGCTGGTGTGTGATGGCGGTGTGTGCGCGTGTGTGCGCGCGCTCGTGTGTGTGTGTGTGTGTGCGCGCGTGTGTGCGCGCGTGTGTGCGTGTATGTCTGTGGTCACTTACCATTCATTGTGATGACATCAAGGGTAATGTCTGGCTAGGATTGCTTTTGAATTTCTGAGAGAAACGCATTCAAAGAACATATTATATTTCACTTGAATCAGGAGTGATGTTGTTTAAAAAACAACAACAAGGTTTCTGTGCTCCTGTGCTTTGGGGTTGATCCTATGGGGAGCTGTCTGCCTCTACGGGGTGCCCTTTTTTGTGGGAGCAAGACGAGCACCTAAACGGAGGGCGACTGTCCGTACCTGATTACCTGTAATCACACAGGGATGATGGAGAGACTGGAAACTTGGGAATGTTTCTGCAGGAGAATACGAGCCAGACCGTAAAGAAATGGAGTCTTTAAGTGAACATTGGGAACTTACATGTGAACCACTTTCGTTGGTTTTCTTCTTGCGTCATAAAAAGTATTTCTTGATCTTCAGTTTGTTGACTGTCTCCTTCCACGTCAGGCTGAGGCAGAGGCCGCGGTGCACAGCCGTCCTGGGTGCTGACGGCTGCCGCATCGCTTCGGCCTGCGGCGAGGGTGCATTCTCCAGTCTGGCATTTTCTGTTTGCATTTGCCACTCAACATTTTCTCCGTTTTCTACTCAGTTTTCGTGTTAACTCCTGCGTGGATTCATTAACTATCATCCTTGATAAAATGGTAATCAGCATTCAAACGTAATTGTCAACATTGTAATATTTATTTATTTTTATTCTCACCCGAGGACATTTTCCACTTTTGTTCAGATGGAGAGAGAGAGAGAGAGAGAGAGAGATCGACTGGCTTTCTCTGCATGACCCCAACCAGGGCCAGGGACGCACCACAACCGAGGTCCGTGCCCTTGACCGGAATCGAACCCGTGACTCATTGGTCCGCAGGCCGACGCTCCAACCGCTGAGCCAAACGGCCAGGCTGTGACTTAGTGTTTGAAATCGGTAACACATCTGCCTGGCTCCACACACAGAACATTCAGAGGTTCAGATCGAATTCTCTTCTCGCTCTTCCCCCAGCCCAGACCCTCATCACACGTCAGAGGCGGTTGTCACCGGCTCGTGTCTTCCGGGGTGTTCTGTGTCCATCTCAGTTTGTGGTCATGTCTGAGGGAACCGGTGCTCGTCCACGCTGTGCATGTAGCGGCCCAGCACCAGGAGGTCGCCGGTTCGATTCCCGGTCAGGGCACATGCCCAGGTTGTGGGCCTGATCCCCAGTGAGGGGCGTGCAGGAGGCGGCCATTCGATGTTCTCTCTCATCCATGTTTTTCTCTCTCTCTTCCTCTTCCTTCTTCTCTCTCTAAAATCAATATAGAAAAAAAAATGTTTAAAAAATGTTTCAAAAAGACACCTTTTCAGTGTCCGAGTCATTTTCAGAGTGTGTGCATCCGTCCCCACGGAGTGCGCGGGTACGCCGGCCTCCGGCCCTCTGGGCTCGCCGGGATTTGTCGCGGGGGATGCACGGGACCTGCGGGCAGGATGGAACCGCGTTGGTCCGGGGTCCGCACCTGCCCAGTGGGGGGTCTCTGTGAGCAGCACCGCGACCGTGAAGAAGTGTAGTACACAGATGTCTCAGGCCTCCCCGGGGGCCCCAGAGGAGGGAACCCGTTCCGGGGGCGGGGGCCAGTGTGAGAGCAGGTTCCGTCCCGGCCCCTCGGCGGTGTCCGGAGTGTGTCTTGAGGAATGACTTCCCGACACTGTTCTGAGGTGCGACCTTGGCAGCAGCATCGAGGGCGACGTGGTCACGGGCTGCGTGGCGCAGAAACTGCTCCGCCGTGTGGGCCGGAACGAAGGTCACGCGAGGCCTGGAAAGGAAACGTCATAGATTTTCGCTCTCAGACGACTGGGGCTTTGACCACGTTCCCTGCAGCACGAGCTGGAAGAGGGTCGAGGCCCCGTGTCTGTCATCGTTCAAGCAGGTCTGACGCCTTCAGTGGCGGCAGCCGGTGTCTGTCCCCACGCTGCTCCCGCCGCCACCCTCCCCCGGCTCCTCAGGGGCCTGGCCCATGTGCCCGAGGCTGCGGGGGGCACGGGGCGTGCTCTCTACCCAGGGAAGCGGGCTGGTCTTCCCAGGTCCCCCGCCTCGCCAGGACAAGTCTGTCGTCTCGGATAGCTTTCCTCTCCTGGGCCCGGCAGGCCACGGGGCTTGTCCCGAGGGGCTCATTAAATGTACCTGTTTACCTTTTGTGAAAAACACGTCCCTGTTGTTCTCGCTGGGACATCTCCCCATGCGGAGGCTCGCCCAGGTCTCTGCAGGAGCTGGAAGGAGCTGAGCTCTGTCCCCGCAATCGGCGGCCGCGCCTGGTGGCCGAGCCTGGTGGCCGGGCTCATTCTGAGCCCGCAGCTGTGTGTGCGCCAAGGCGCTGGGCGTGTGACTGCCGTGTGGAAGGAGAAATTCCTGTCCCAGGGGCTAAAACGGGGTTCTGTGGTCAGGAGCCTTGGCCTCAGGCGCCTGTGTGGGGTCGATAGGCAAAGGACAACCGGGAAAGTCCCTCGTGCCCCGTGACCGGTGTCTGCGGTCCAGTGGTGATGAACGGAGACCTGACAGCAGGGGAAACCGAGGCCAGAGTCCAGTGCTGCCCTCAGATGTCAGAGGCCACCGCACCTGCTGCCTGGGGACACGGGTCTCTAGCTCCCCCAGCCCTCCCGTCAGCCTCCTTTCTCCATGCTCCGCCCCCCGCCCCCCCTCGGCCACCCACCCCCGTTCCTCAGGGGCCACTTGTCTTTCTACCTCGAAGTCCCAAGCATTTTCTGTCAGTCACACAATCGTGCGGTGTCTGTAGATGGCTAACAATGGCCCTTGTCTTCTTGGGGTGTATTTTTTGTCATCCCCCTCAACTGTGTCATTTAGTCCTTGGGCGGGTGCCCTGTACCCGCTCTTCATGCACTCCTCAGACTTCCTTCCTGCCCCCCACCCCGAATGTCAGAGAGCTGGGCAGTGGTCTCCCCTGGCCACCGGCACACCCCACACACTCACCTGCGGTGCCCACTGTCCCCCGCAGCCTGGCCAGGGAGACCCAGCGCCCACGTCCCGTCTGGGGCTGCTGTCTGCCCGGCCCTATGAACCCCACGGGCCTGCACCCCAGTTCTAACGTGATGCAGCAGTTCTCAAACCAGCCCTTAGGCTGAGCACCGGTGTCCTAGACAGGTGACCGAGGCGCCCAGAGGCGGAATGAGTTGCCCAGGACCCCGGAGCTGTCAGGTGACGGGAGCAGGACAGGAATCGGGCCTCCTGATCCCGGGACCTGTGCTGTTCACCTCCAGCGGCCAGGGCGCCGAGGGCTTAGAAGAGGCTTGGGTGCCGCGAGCACACGCGTGTTCTTGCTCCGCAGAACAGACCTGCCTCCCCCTGGACTGTGTCTGCGGGACACTTCTGTGGTCACAGTCGGGTCCCCACAACTGCGCCTTCACCCCGCCCTTCTTCTGAGGTCAGACCTGCGTAGCCCCTGGACACGTTTTCCCACGAGTGCCTCTGACGCCTCCAGTTCAGGGTTCAAAACCGGAGTCGGCTGGGAAAGCCCAGTACGCCTGGTGGGTCGTGTCAGGGTCTGTCCTGGTTGTGACACTCTCATCCTTGCACAAGACCTCGGGGAAAGTAGGTAAAAGGTACGGGGCATCTCTCTCGATCGTTTCTTACAATTGCATGCGAATCTATCGTTGTCCAAAACAAAAAGTTAATGAAAACAAACTGAGCTCGGCCTCCCTCCGCCGGCCGGCAGCCCCAGGCTCTCCTTCCCTCCAGCAGCAGGTGGCTTCTCTGCTTCCTCCCCAGCCATCCCCCCTGCACTTGGCGGGCCTTTCCCCCCGTCTCCGGGACCTGCCCTGCGCCTGCACCTGCACACTGACCCCTCTGCCTAAAATCCTTCAGTGCCTTTTATCATTGGTGATAAAAGACGAACTGCGGAGGGGTCGGGCGGGGCTGCTGGTGGCAAATGCAGCGTCTACGCCCCACTCCTTTGCGGGGTTGAAATCGCTGAGTTGGAGCGCCCTCTGGTGACCTGTTTGTGCGCCAGCGTTTGAGGCCAGGCCAGGGCCACCCCCCACCCCCAGCCTCAGCCCCCTGGTCCGCTGCCTTCCTGCCCTGGGCATTGCCTGGGATGCTGCCCTGGCCTCTCCGGTCTGTGGAGCTCCTCGTCTCCACCCCTCAGACTTGGCTGGCCGCCTGCTTCCTTCCCGGGTCCCGCGAGCAGGCAGTGGGCTTCCTGCAGCGCCGCGCGTATCTGTCCCCCGTGACTCCCGACCTCAGGGATGAGCATCCCGAGGTGCAGACCCCTTTCTCCTCTCTCTGCGGGTCTCAGGAGAGCTGTGGGCCGTGGAGGCACTTGATGCTGCTGCTCCGCACCACCCGTACGTGAGGTTTCCACCGGGAACTCCACGTGACAGGGCCTGGGCCGCCGCGCAGGAAGTGAACCCAGAGAGAACCGGCCGGCGCCCCGTAACGGCCGCTCATCCCACAGAACAGGTCCGCGTATTTGCCCGTCAACAGCGCTGTTTCCCGGGTCGCTCTGTGTCACAGAAACTTTTTTTTTTTTTAAACATGAAACAATGTGTCGATGATTTGCTCCGCGGTCCTTTCCACCAAGTGCCAGCAGCCAAGCCCTCCCGGCGGAGGCTGCATTTTGCTCACGGACCGTTCGGCGAACAGCCTCTTGGCTCGTGGGTCATCGCGCCGGGCAGTGTCCGTCTGGGCCACGCGTCGTCAGTCAGTCTGCGGGTCCCCCTTCCGATCCCCGGGCGAACGGTGGCTGAAGAGGGCGTTTCAGGTCATCTGTGAGCATCTGACACGGTACGACCGGTTAATTTGTAGAAGCCTCTCATTCGGGACATTTGGGACACAGACACATACAGCAGATTATAGCACAGCGCGTTTGTCCTCGCCAAGGTTTGACCATGAACTCCGGCCACGCTTGTCCCGCCCCCGCCCCCCACCCTCGAATCCTATCATTTTATAGTGGTCACCGCTTACCAGTCTTCTCCCTCGTGAAGTACGAAGGTTTCTCACTGGTAGTAAAGTAGTTTAAGGGAACATTTTTAAAAAATAATGCAACAGCCTGACTGAGATGTAATCCACCTGCCGTGTAATTCATTTGCAGCGCACCGGTTCGTGCTGGTTAGTGTGTTCATAGAGCCGTGACCCCATCGCCACATCTCAGAGCATTTCATCACCCTTAAAGGACATCTTGCAGCAGTCACTCCCTGTTTCCCTTCGGTCCCCCTCAGCTCTCGGCGACCGAAACAGCCTTGCAGATTTGCCTGTTTGGGACATTTTCTATAAACGGAGCCGCAGAGGAGTCGGGGCTTTGAAACTGGCTTCTTTGGGTTAGCACACGTGTTCAGGGTCCGTCCGTGCTGTGCGGCAGTGGTTGGCCCCTCCTGGCTGGCGGGCCTTCCCCTGTGGATGTGTAACATCGTCTCTGTCCACGGATCCAGCTGCTGGGCAGATGGGCTGCTTTCACGTTGTAGCCATTATGAAGTATGCTGCTAAAAATACTTGTTTAGGAATGTTTGTGTAAACATGTGTTTTCATTTCTCCTGGGTATGTAACTGGGTGTGGGATTGATTGCTTATGTGACATTCGGCATGTCTCCCGCAAGGCCTGAGGAATCTGATTTGTACTCGTTCTAGCCAATCCTGTGTCCTGATGGTATCTCACTGTGGTCTTGATTTGCATTTCCCTGGGGGCGGAGGATGTTGAACATCTTCGTGTGTGATTAATGGCCAGTCGTGTATCTTCTTTGGAGGAATGTCTTTTCAGATTCTTGGCCCATTTAAAAAATTCTTTTCTTTCTTTCTTTCTTGATTTTAGCAAGAGAGAGGAAGGGAGAGGAGGAGGAGGAGGAGAGAGAGAGAGAGAGAGAGAGAGAGAGAGAGAGAGAGAGAGAGAAACATCGATGAGAGAGAACATGGACTGGCCGCCTCCTGCACACCCCCCACTGGGGATCAGCCCACAACCTGGGCATGTGCCCTGACCGGGAATCGAACCAGTGACCTCTTGGTGCAGGGTCGACGCTCAACCATTGAGCCACACCGGCCGGGTTCTTTGCCCATTTTAAAAAATGTGTTATTTATCTTTTTGTTATTGAGTTGTAAATAATTCATTATACATTATCCCTTATCAGATATATGATATGGCAAATATTTTCTTTCAGTTATTGGGTCGATGGTACCCTTTGATAAGAAAAGCGTTTTAACAAGAAAAACAGCCCGAGGAGGTGTTAGGAAACCTTTCAGGGCGTCTGACGGTCTGTCCGGAGGTGCGGTGTGCGGCACATTCCAGGGACTGAGGGTCTCCGTCCCGGTCAGTGGGCAGCCGTCGGGCTGGCGAAGTCCCCCGTCCTGCGGCTTGGAGAGGCGGCCGTCCTCCCTGCGGAGAGGCAGGACCCTGGTCGCCGTGGTGCGGCCTGGGGAAGACTTTCCCACGCTTTCTCCTTGGCTTTGCCGTCCGGTGCTGTAGCCGATCGATGGGTCACCTGACAGGTGTGTGTGGGTCTCTACGCTTGGTGGGAGTTTCCAAGAAATGCTGACCGTTGTGTTTATTTCCCTCTGGCTTTGATGTCAGGAAAGAAGGCAGCTGGGAAAGTGAACCTTCACAACATGCAGTGCTCACTGTGGTTACAGTGTGTCAGGGAGATAACCAGAGAGCACAGCCAAATTGTGAAGGAGCGCTTTGTTCTCGCCGGCGGGCTGCAGGGGGCGTAGTCTCCCCTCAGATCAGCAGCCCCGATTCTCCTTGCTCCTCCGATTTTAAAGACAGAAGCCCCATCCTCGTCCCCCTCTCCCTCCGAGGACCTGTCCAATAGCGGGTGTGACAGCGGTTACAGAAGTCAAAATTCTCATTATTCACCGGGCTCACGAATACCTGCAAATACCCTACTGGAAACTGCAGATGCCTCCCAACTCGTGGGGCAACTATAATCTCAGGCAAAATTTCTTTACTTCTAGGGCTAATTAACCTGTTATTGGAAAAATATTGAGGAAGGTCCGTGGATGATGAAAATGGAGTTGTTCAGTCGCCTCAGCCCCGGGGCCCAGGTCACTGGGAGCTCAGTAGAGGTACCGGAAGGTCAGGGTGCGCGCAGGCCTGTTGCAGCAGCTAACAGGTGCTCCCGGTGCGGTGGGTTGTGATGAGCGAAGCGTTAGAGAGGGGCTTCGGCATCTCCGTGGTGGTTCAGACCTTCAGGGTCTGCAGCGATGAGCTCCCACCAGACAGCAAAGGTGTTTGTGTGAAGATGTGAGAGCAGACTCACTGGGGAGGAACTGGATTTTGTAGTTACTTCGGGAGAACCTGGGGGTGCCGCGACGCAAGTCAGGACTTGATGGGTGGCTCCGTAGTTCTGTGGGGACCAGAGAGGGAGGGAGGGGACTCTGACAGGTTGGAGAAGGGAGGGAGACCCTGCCGGGTGGTAGGGTGGTGTCCAGAGACGAGAGGAGGCTGTGGGTGAGGGGTGACATTCGAATCCGCCCCAGAAAAATTCTCACGCGTGAACACAGGCGAGCAGAGAGGGACTGTGGGTCGAGACGGCACCCCAGGCAGGGGGGTCAGAAGGCAGCTGGGGTGGTGGAGCCGGTGGTGCTAGGCGGTGGGGCGTCTTTGCAGTGACTCTGTTTCCCAGCTAAGGAGTTTGGCTTCATGCACGAAGGGTTGCTGACCCACGGCAGGGTCTGGAACCCGGAGCCGACGCCGGTTCTGGGAATCCTCATGTGGGGTGGGGGGCCAGGCGGGGCTGCATCCCTGGCAGGGACGGCCTGGCCTTGCGTTTCCTTTCTAGAAGCTTCTCACCTGATCTGGATGATCGTGGCTGCCGTGATCCGTTTCTGCAGTCCGTGCTGGGAGCTAAGGCCCCTGCTCAGTCACTCCCAGGCATTGCTGTGGGGTGAGGAAGGGGAGACTCCGCGGGGGTTGCACCCCTGCCCTGGGTCGCTTGGCTGAGCAGTGGAGCCGGGGTGTGGATCCAGGGCCGTCCGCTCCCGGGAGCCTTCTGCCCGCGTCTGCCGGAGCCTGGCTGCACCCCCGCTCCCTCCCCAACCCTGCAGGGGTCCAGGCCCCCAACCTGGCACCTCTGTTCTCCCGCCACGTGTTTGGATGTGTTTTGATGTCCCAGGGTGGGGCACCTCACCCTGTGTGTGCTCTTCTGGGTTAGCGCCCTGGGGAGGCCTCTGGAGCCCGGAGCCGAGTCCTGGGGCCCTGGGGGGGCCTCTGGAGCCCGGAGCCGAGTCCTGGGGCCCTGGGGAGGCCTCTGGAGCCCGGAGCCGAGTCCTGGGGCCCTGGGGAGGCCTCTGGAGCCCGGAGCCGAGTCCTGGGGCCCTGGGGAGGCCTCTGGAGCCCGGAGCCGAGTCCTGGGGGGCCCTGGGGGGGCCTCTGGAGCCTGGAGCCGAGTCCTGGGGCCCTGGGGGGGCCTCTGGAGCCCGGAGCCGAGTCCTGGGGCCCTGGGGGGCCTCTGGAGCCTGGAGCCGAGTCCTGGGGCCCTGGGGAGGCCTCTGGAGCCCGGAGCCGAGTCCTGGGGGGCCTGGGGAGGCCTCTGGAGCCCGGAGCCGAGTCCTGGGGGGCCTGGGGAGGCCTCTGGAGCCCGGAGCCGAGTCCTGGGGCCCTGGGGAGGCCTCTGGAGCCCGGAGCCGAGTCCTGGGGCCCTGGGGGGGCCTCTGGAGCCCGGAGCTGAGTCCTGGGGCCCTGGGGGGGCCTCTGGAGCCTGGAGCCGAGTCCTGGGGCCCTGGGGAGGCCTCTGGAGCCCGGAGCCGAGTCCTGGGGCCCTGGGGGGGCCTCTGGAGCCCGGAGCTGAGTCCTGGGGCCCTGGGGAGGCCTCTGGAGCCTGGAGCCGAGTCCTGGGGGGCCTGCCAGCCTCTGGAGCCCTGCTGGTCTGGGGTTCAGCACTGACAGAGGGGGCAGCGGCTGCAGGACCCTGGATGTCAGGGAGAGCGTTGTCGCAAGGACTGGGCGCTTCAGTGGGTCCTGACCCCTCTCAGTCATGCTCATAAGCTCGTAATCCGGCTCCACGGGCCTCGGTTCTGCTGGCCCTGTGGGGGCTCCGGGCGCAGCCACCCCCAGGACGGCGGGGCTGCACCCTGCTCAGAGAAGCCCTTGGCCACCTGTGCCTGTTTTACCTTCGAACACACCCAGCCCTGTCCCCCAGGACTTTCAGCTATTCCTGGACGGGCCCCTCCAGGCCTGAGTCAGGATCGGGGGGTTGGTGGGGGGGGGCTGGCATCCCTCGAAGCTCCCCTGTGGATGTTCCACGCAGGGCTGAGACCACTGCCGGTCTGGCTGCTGCTGCCCACCCCCCCCCCCCCGGGATCGGGCCCACAACCTGGGCATGTGCCCTGACCGGGAATTGAACTGGCGACTGGCGACCTCTTGATGCAGGGTCAACACTCAACCACTGAGCCACACCAGCTGGGCTATTTTTTAATTTTTTAATTCTCACTGAGGATATGTTTCCATTGCTTTTTAGATAAACTAGAAAGAAGGGAGGAAGAGAGAGAAAGAAACATCCATGTGAGACACATCGACTGGCTGCCTCCTGCACGACCCTGGCTGGGGACAGGGATCGAACCTGCAATCCGGGTACATGCCCTTGACCGGGAATCAAACCCAAGACCCTTTGGTGCACGGGCCAGTGCTCTAACTGCTGAGCCAAACCAGCCAGGACCTGTGGTTCCCTTTTAATGACCAGTCTCTGTAGACAAGAGAGGGGCAGCGAATTTGGTACCTGAAGGGGCATGGTTCTAGTGTACACCTGTTATTTTCACTTTCTCCTGAAAGTTTGTGTGCATCCTAATTTTTTATGCTCGTCCACTCTGGACTGTCCTGTGTCCCAGACCTCCAAGTGTGCCAGTGGACTACAGTTTAAATGAAAATACGCTGCTAAGCCCGGCTGGTGTGGCTCAGTGGCTGAGCATCGACCCTGCACCAAGAGGTTGCTGGTTCGATTCCCGGTCAGGGCACATGCCCAGGTTGTGGGCCTGATCCCCAGTGGGGGACGTGCAGGAGGCAGCCAGTCGATGTTCTCTCTCATCGATGTTTCTATCTCTCTCTCCCTCCCCGTTCATCTCTCTCTAAGATCAAAAAAGAAAAAGCAAACCAATACTAAGAGGGCTGCATCTGAATGCCACCTGAATCCCGCCGGGAGTGGAGATTCCGGAGTGGCATATTTAGCAAGTTTTTTTTTTTTTTTAGACGTGCGTGTGTTTGTATAATAAACGCTCAGACACTCAGAGCCCCGAAGGTTACATATTAAAATAGTTAATGATTGTGAGCGATGGGATGGCGGACACTTTTTGTTTTCCTACTTACATTCTACATTTTCTGCAGTGACCATGTATTTTCTGTATGTTAAAAAAAAACCTTTAAAAGAAAACGTACTCTCGACAAAGTTGGGGTGTGTGAATATGTGTTATTTATAGCCCTTGTGGCTAAAATACTCTGGGGGTTTTGAGAATAGAACCCTACTGAGAGTGCTCGTAGCCAGGCTTGGCGCACAGAGGCTGGGATTTGGGTCTTTGTTATTTTTGTTTGTGCGTATTGTAGCTAAGCTTGACTGGTCTTGTCTGATGGCTGGCATTTTGCTTTGTTGAACAAGTGACTGTCAGTCCCTATGAGGGGAACCAGAAAATGATGACACGGATAACTTCCTCCTTTGTTCTTAACACCAGTGGGTGCATTTTCATTGACAGTATCTGTTCTTGGTGGCAAATGGTGACCGGGTGTCTGTGCATCTCTTTGCGTGGGCTTCTTATTGGACTTGAACACGTGCATTGGAATTTGCATTTGAAATGACATGATTAGAAGAAGTGGTTTAGACCAAACTTAACCGTAGTTATCTGTGGGCCCAGTTGTCAAGTAGTTTTTAATAGTGTTCGAAAGAGAGAAACAAGATGCTCAGTCCCTCCCAGTCCACTCGGACTTTTGTGGAAATCGCTCCCTTGACAATCGGTGGGAGAACCTGTTGCCATAACAATGGGGAAAGGGCACTGCGTGGACATGTTTCAGCAGGAGGGTTGCTTCTGAGTGCTCCTGGCTAGTCCTCGGGGAATTTGGCCGTGAGCTTGTGATTACTGCCTGTCCACCCACAGATGGGCGCAGGGCACCTCATCCCTAACGGTTGCCAGAGGCGACACGCTGACCTAATTTGTGCCCCTGTGGCAGACATTTCTGAATAATTTCAGTGACTTTTTATTTAAAAATTTTTTTTCCTTTATTGAGTTTAGAGAGAGAGGAAGGGTGAGGGAGAGAGAGAGAGAAACATCACTGAGAGAGAACATCGACTGGCCGCCTCCTGCACGCCCTCCACTGGGGATCAGGCCCACAACCTGGGCATGTGCCCTGACCTGGGCATGTGCTCTGGTGACCTCTTGGTGCATGGGTTGACGCTGAACCACTGAACCACACTGGCTGGGCAATTTCAGTGCCTTGTTAAAAGAATTTACTGATTTGAGAGAGAGAGAGAGAGAAACATTGATCTGTTGTTCCTCCTGTTTACGCATCCACTGGTTGATTCTTGCATGTGCCCTGACTGGGGATCAAACCTACAACCTTGGTGTACTGGGACAATGCTCTAACCCACTGTGCCACCCGACCAGAGCTGCTCAGTGATTTTTGTGCTACTTTTCCTATTTCCTTGTGTTTCTCAGCACTTGCCGATCACGTTCCGTGGCATCTTGGGCCAGATGGGGGCATGCAATAAGCGAAGGTGTCGAAGGTTGTCTTGGAGACGCTGCTCTGGTCCCTGGCCCGTGCTGGGGCCGTGCAGGCTGTCAGGCTGTCGTGGGCCGGCCCACCGTGCGTGCCGGCCGGTCCTCTCGCGGATGGACAGAGACAAAGCAGATCTTAGTTAGGCATGTTTGGAACTTGACGTGGACCCTGAAGAAGCGACCTTGAGAGAGCTGCACTTGGGGACTCTGAGTTCTCCGAGTTTTTTAGGCTTGAGGTTTCTGGAAGGGCTCCCCTACCTCCCCTGTTCTGTGTCCTGCCTGTGCCTTGGATGCTTCTGCTGTGCTGTCCGCTGGAGGGCTCCTGATGCACCTGGGTTGAGGGGATGTCTTCTCCAGGTCGGGGCGCTCAGAGGCACGGGGCGGGCAGGCCACCTCCAGCCTGAGTTGCTGACGTGCTTGGGGGTGGGCACGCCTTCCCGACGCGCTCGTGGGCACCAGCCGCATCCGTGTCCTGGACGCGTGTTTTCTGAGTTCATCCGTAAGACGATCGGAAAAGGGTGACTTCTCCTGCCGTGTTTCTAACTGCAGAGTGGACACAGATATCCACCCGGTATCTCCGAGAGCAGCTGGCCAAGATCTCCGACTTCTACCACCTGGCCTCCGGCGCCGGCCCGGTCCCTGTGCCCCCGGACGTGGAGCAAGCCCTGCGGCAGTGGGGGTACAACGCGAAGCTGGTGTTCCACATGCTGCAGGTGACCTCGCGTGGCCGCGGGCGGAGCCTTTCCGCGGGGGCGGGTGCCTCCCGGCTCGTGTCCGGGGCTCGAATGGGGTCGTTACCGCCACATTCCGAGACAGCACCCCGGTGCTGCTCACACTGAGCCGGGGTCCTCAGCCCTGCGATGACAGCTTGTCCTGTGCACAGTGACCTCCAGCTCTAGCGATGCCAGCCCTTCTAACGCCTTCACTTTGTAATCGCACTATGAGTCCAACCCTTTTAAACCTTTCGTGGGGCGAAAAGTGGATGTCGTCATTCAGAAAAAAAAACACCACTTTGTTCTGATGTCTTTCCGTAGATCTATCTCCTTTAGAGTTCAGTTGTTGCAAAGGTAGGTCATCTGCGGGCCCCCTGCCCTTTGAAATGCCCTTGCGGGGGGGCCTGGTGAGGGCAGCGCCGCCTCCAGACCAGCCGATGTACATCGTGTTGGCCAGCAGGGGGCGCGCGGGCCTCAGGCTGGGCCCCGGGCGGGGTGGGAGGGGTGTGTGAACTCTGTGGCAGGCAGAGACTCTCCTGCCGCCTGGACCAGGAGGAAGGAGATTAGCAAGGGTGTGTGGCTTCTGAATCCCCCTTAGAACATCAGTTCTAGTCCCCGCCTTGTGAGTTCTTCTCCTCCTAAGAGCTCAGCGTAGGAAAAAATCACGGTCCTTCTGAGAAGTAGCATTGTGCATTAAATTTAAACAGCTCTTTACAAATCCAACCCCATTCGGTAAGGACCACTCGGGTGCCTGCTTGGAGCTGTGGGGACTTTTATAGAGCTGGGGACATAGTCTGCATCTTTTAATAAGTGTCTCTCAGCATGCCTGACGTCTTTGGAAGGATTTCTTGACGCATCAGGAGCATTGAAATCCATATGTCTCTTATAGGAAACTGTTAGGTCGTAAACTGATTGAAATCTACTTGGGACATTAATGCTCACATTGAAAAGTGCACTACGCTTTTGATTTCCCCTATTCTGAAATGTGAAACCGGTCCTGGGAGGTGCAGAAATAAAGGCATGGATACATACACAGAAGCATCTTGAGGATGAGCTATTATGTAGCCATTGGCAACTGTATCTGTGAAGATCTTCTTCTTATTTATTTATTAATTTATGTTAATCCTCACCCTTGGATATTTTTCCATTGATCTTTAGAGAGAGCAGAAAGGAGGGAGGGAGGGAGATAGGGAGAGTCAGAAACATCAATGTGAGAGAGACACATCGAATGGTTGCCTCCTGCACGACCCTGACCGGGGCCAGGGATCGACCCTGCAACCCAAGTAGGTGTCCTTGTCTGAATCGAACCTGTGATCCTGAGGGCTGACGCTCTCACCACTGAGCCAAACCGGTCAGGAGGTCAGGGCTCTTTTTTTTTTTAATCTCACATTCACTCTCTCTTATACCTTAATGCAAAACTCCATTTTATGTATTTCTTTATTAAGTTGAAGTTCACTTTACTGGTTTTAAATTGCAGTTTTTCTGTCACTAACCCTTTAACACTCTCTGACCTTCAGTGCTTGAAAAGTTAGAAATTGGCAACAAGTAAATACCTTGATATCATGTCAGTGTCATCTTGTAAGTACAGTAATTGGTCAGTGCAACATTTTCACCAAGTTGTCGGTAACCGTAGCCGAGGGCCACCGGTAAGACACACAGACCTGGAAGAGGGGCTCAGGACAGAGCAGTTCTTATTACCTCTACGGTTGTTACCAGAATGAGCATAATGTATGTTTCTGTCTCGAAGTTTCTTTCATGATGTGAATCGTTATATAAAACTATAACATGACATCAGATACGTAAGAGTGCAGACGCTGATGGGATATTGCGTGTATCGACACGTGCGTGTGTGTGAACAGAGTAGGCGGACATGTGAAGTGCTCACTGAGGGGATGTGCCACCCTGTGGGGCGCTGGGAAATGTGTGGATGTATTAGTATTTTTTAGTGTAGTTATGTAGGGACATTTACCCCTTACCTTATTTCATTATAAATTTCTTTTTTTTCCCCGTTATTGATTTTAGAGAGAGGGGAAGGGAGAGGGAGAGAGAGATAGAAACATCGATGAGAGAGAACATTGATGGGCCGCCTCCTGCACGCCCCCCACTGGGGATCAGCCCACAACCTGGGTGTGTGTCCTGACCGGGAATCGAACCGGTGACCTCTTGGTGCAGGGTTGACGCTCAGCCACTGAGCCACACCGGCTGGACTATTTCTTTATATTATAGTTAGTTATGCCATTCTATTTTTTAAGGATATATTTTACAAGCAGGTTACAGTATCTGAACTTCATTTTAGGGTAGAGGAGACTACTAAGGGGCACCAAGTCCATTGGGATTGTCAGCTTCGGGTCTATAACGCTGGGATGAGGGCTTCTGCTCTGTAATGACCATGTTGGCCAGGCGTCCTCCTGTGAGGACAAGCTCCTACACCCAGAAATCTACCAGGCTCTTGGTATAAGCCTTGCGAGTCTTAGAATTTTCTTTCTCATAGGGATTAATTTTTTTTTTCAATTTAGAATGAAACAGATTACCAAAAACCAAAAACAATAACAACAAAAACAACCCCAAACCGAGCGTACAAAGTCCTAGCAGTTCTGTTTGTTTGGAGTTGGACCACGATCAGTGCGTTTTTCTACAGCAGAGACGGAGGCAGGAAAATTCTGCTTGCGCAGAAGACAGCAGAGCTTACTGTGTCTTAGCTTGGTGTGCCCGAACGTCACCAGGGTAATTCCCCTTTGTCCTTTAAGGAAGGAATGCTAGAAAAGCACGAATATTTGACCTGGATCCTGGACGTTCTGGAGAAGATCAGACCGATGGACGACGACCTCCTTAAGCTCTTGTTACCCCTGATGCTGCAGGTGAGCAGTCGCCACGCCCGTCAGTTCTGGGGGCAGGGAGCGGGCGATGGGCGTGGTTAGGAGAGTGGAGGGGGGAGGGGAAGACATTGCATTTCTGAGGCTCCAACACAGGACGTGAGGCGGGGCCTCAGCTCTGGCCGCGTCCAGTCTGGGCCACGGTCCGTTTTCATTTTCTCGCCCACACTGGCTCCTCCCATCGCTGAGCTAAGCAGACAGCTCCTGCTGTGCCGTCTCCTCGTTCACCCAGAGTCTGTGAAAACCAAACGGATCATCTCTTTCTAAGGGTCCGGAGGGTCTCTGACATTCGTTCGACATTTGTCGAGCCACTGGGGGTGGGACTTCCTACTTTAATGATTGTTCTAAAATCTAGTATTTAGGTCATCTGGATGAAATGTATTTAGAAATAAGATTTTCTTGGTAGGGCAATGCATGTATTTGATTATTCAGACAATACGAAGAGTATCTAATGAAGAGTCCTGTGTTTCTTTTTTTTTTTATTCCTCATTTGAGGATATTTTTCTACTTATTATCAGAGGGAGGGAGAGGGAGAGACAGAGAGAAACATTGATGTGATAGAGCCACACTGACTGGTTGCCTCCTGCAGGGCCCCACAGGGCCGGGGACAAACCGCAACCGAGGGGCGTGCCCTTGACCAGGATCGAACCCGCAACTCATTGGTGTGAGGGCCAATGCTCTAACCACTGAGCCAAACCGGCCAGGGCAAGAGTCCTGTGTTTCCCACCCAGTATAGCCTCTCAGAGACCACAGCACGCAGGTGTCCCTGTGTGTCCAGTGTGGTCGCCACCAGCCGGAGGTGACCATGGAACTGTGACACGTACCAGTGGAGAATGTTCAATAGTTTAAAGTACACACCGGGCTTCAGACTCAGTGCAGGAAAAAAGAGTATATATAATGTCTCAGTACCTGTGGTTTTGATTACATGTTGAAATGATAACATTTTGGCTCTATGAGGATAAACAAAATATATTACTCCTTTAATTTTACCTTTGTTTTTTTAATGGCTACTAGCAAATTTAAAATGACGTACGTGGCTTGCGTTGTGTTTCTGTTGGACAGTACTGGTCTGTGCCGTGCCTTTGAAGGTTGTTTTTCCCATTAAAATTGCCCGTGTTAAGATAGTTCACCGGACATGACTGAGCCAGGTGTCCTTGTCCTTCTCAGTACTCGGACGAGTTTGTTCAGTCGGCCTACCTGTCTCGTCGCCTTGCCTACTTCTGTGCCCGGCGTCTTGCCTTGCTGCTGAGCGACAGCCCCGCCCTCCTCGCTGCCCACTCGCCCCACTTGATGATAGGACCAAACACCTCGAGCCTTGGGGCCCCCAGCCCTGCCCCCCCTGGCCCCGGCGTGAGCCCCGTGCAGCTGGCCTTCTCCGACTTCCTGTCCTGTGCACAGCACGGTCCCCTGGTGTATGGACTTAGTTGTATGTTGCAGGTAAGTCCTTGGACCTTGTTACTTTGTGTTACATTTCAGCACCTTGTTACTTTGTGTCACATTTCAGCACCATGTTACTTCATGTTACATTTCAGCACCTCGTTACTTTGTGTTACATTTCAGCACCATGTTACTTCGTGTTACATTTCAGCACCTTGTTACTTCGTGTTACATTTCAGAGTAGGGAGTTTCAGTGGTGGGAATTGTACATCCGAGCTGTCACTTTCTCCTCGGCCACATGATTTATAGATTGACATCTCCTGTTTTTATTTTCCTATGGTAAACCAAGCCGAAAGAAGATGATTTGCTTTAGTCTAGAAGAAAGTCATTGTAGTTGTTCTTTATGAGGGCCGTGGAGTCGTTCAGTGATTGAACATCCTTTAGGGAATCTGTAGAATAAGTCAGCCGTGTTACTGTTCTGGGAAGTCAGCTTCTTCCTGCACCGCTCTACAGCTTCCTCAGTTTACATCTTGAGTGAGTGTCTCTTTTCTTTTTTTTTAAACCCAGACAATCTGCCCTGCTTCGTTCATGTGCCAAGCGTTGCTGCCGGTGTGGGTCAGGGCCCTGGGCTCCTGCTTGGGGGACGAGGTGCAGCCCTGTCCCCAAGGAGCTCACAGCTTAGTGTTCAGGTCACATTTCTTGGGCTCTTAACTGTGTTCTCCTCTTTGCTAAGGGGCTCTGGGACAGGCGGTGGGCTGCCGTCTGAGGCTCCATGCAGTGCCCAGGCTGTAATAGTTTCTGCTCTAGTGAGTTATTATACCCCCCCAAAAAAAGAAGAATATATGACAGAAACTGTAGGTGGTGTGAAAAGCTGAAGACATTTATTATCTGGCTTTTCATAGAAAAAAATTTGCCCACCGCTAGTCCAGGATTACTGCCCACCCAGCCTTTATGAAGCTACTTACTGCACCATTACTTGAAATATTAAAAAAAATTTCTTTTAATTTTAATTTAATTTACTTATTTTTTTATCCTCACCCGAGGACATTTTTGCATTTATCTTCTGATAGAGCGGGAAGGAGAGAGGGAGGAAGAGAGAGAGAAACATCGATATGAGAGGGACACATCAACTGGCCGCCACCCACACGACCCCAAGTGGGGTCAGGGACAAACTGCAACTGAGGTACATGCCCTTAGTGGGAACTCTCTGGTCTGTGGGCTGATGCTCTAATTACTGAGCCAGACTGGCCAGGGTTAATTTTATTTAAAAAATTTTTTTTCTTTATTGATTTTAGAGAGAGAGGAAGGGAGAGGGGGAGAGAGATAGAAACATTGATGAGAGAGAACATTGATTGGCTGCCTCCTGTGTGCCCCCCACTGGGGATTGGGGCCCACAACCTGGGCATGTGCCCTGACCGGGAATCGAACCAGCGACCTCTTGGTGCAGGGGACGCTCAACCACTGAACCACACCGGCCATTCATATCCTTAGAAGTGACATGTTTAATACCATCTCATTTTTTAAGTTTCATGAAAAGAATTCGTTTTCAGTGACTTTTTTTAAGCCACGATGGCTTTACTTTTGCTCCCTGTACTAGGACATTTCTCAGTACTCCACTTCCTCCCTTTCACGGGAGTAGTTCTCAGTCCTTCCCTGTGCTGAAGCAGTCGAGCACGGGGTAAGAGGCATTCCCAGCTCCCGGCAAGAAGCCCGTCGTCACGACACGGCGCCGTTTCTCCCGCGAAGCCGCCGCTCCCCTTCCCCTTCCTCTGACCGGACCGTCTCTCCCCAGACGGTCACTCTGTGCTGTCCAAGTGCCTTGGTGTGGAATTACTCCTCCAGCGACAGCAGGAGCGCCAGCCCGGGCTCGCCGCTGGACCTGCTGCCGGTGGCGCCCTCCAGCCTGCCCATGCCCGGCGGGAACACGCCGTTCAACCAACAGGTACGCTCCTGTTCGGAGAGCCAGCGGGCACAGAGGGCACAAGGGCACAGAGGGCACAGAGGGCACCGAGGGCACAGAGGGCACCGAGGGCACCGAGGGCACAAGGGCACAGAGAGCACGAGGGCACAGAGGGCACAAGGGCACAGAGGGCACCAAGGGCACCGAGGGCACAGAGGGCATGAGGGCACAGAGGGCACTGAGGGCACACGGGCACAGAGAGCACGAGGGCACAAGGGCACAGAGGGCACCGAGGGCACAAGGGCACAGAGGGCACGAGGGCACCGAGGGCACAAGGGCACAGAGGGCACAAGGCACCGAGGGCACAGAGAGCACGAGGGCACAAGGGCACAGAGGGCACAAGGGCACAGAGAGCACGAGGGCACAAGGGCACAGAGGGCACCGAGGGCACAGGGCACAGAGGGCACAGAGAGCACGAGGGCACAGACGACACAAGGGCACAGAGGGCATGAGGGCACCGAGGGCGTGAGGGCACAGAGGGCACCGAGGGCACGAGGGCACCGAGGGCACCGAGGACACAGGGCACAGAGGGCACAGAGAGCACAAGGGCACAGAGGGCACCGAGGACACAGGGCACAGAGGGCACAGAGGGCACAGAGGGCACCGAGGACACAGGGCACAGAGGGCACAGAGAGCACAAGGGCACAGAGGGCTGGCGGCTTTTCACCCGTCCCGCACTTGGGCTCGGGCGCGCCCCTCTCTCTGGGTGGCCTGGGGGAGCACGAGCCTCTCGAACCCCAGCAGGCTCATGGTGCTCCCTCTCTTCTCGCCCCCTCGGGGCAGTTCTTGCGGAGTCTGGACGAGGAGTGTGTGGTTGCACAGGGCCTCAGCTCTCGCAGTGGTAGTCGGTGATATTTAGTCCTTTTCATGCGTTCTGGTTAGTGCTGGGTTATTGGGTTCAAAGACATAAGAACATTTGAACCAAAGACTGGTGACTAATAGTGAGATGAAGGTCTCCATTTTTTGCTGCGAAGCAGAGTTAATAGAACACGGCTGGTTGGTGTCACACAGAGAATGACTCAAAGATGGTATTTAGAATCCCCCCCCCTCTACGATGACCTAGAAGATGTTCACTTGTAAAGACCGCTTGCAAACCTTTGTTTTTGTGGGTGGTTATTATTGAAAACTGGCCTGGAGTCACCGCTTATGAATTTTGAAACGTGTTCGTGGGCAGCGGCGGCGGCTTTCCTGCGACATGGCGGAGGTGGTCATTCACTGTGGGAGGCTCCGCTCATGGAAAAACCGGGCGTGATTTAGACCCTCCCTGGCCCTCCAAGCACATTCATTAGAAGTGATCCCTTTTCAGGTTCGGGCCAGGATTTATGAGGCGGAACAACAGATAAAGCAGAGAGGCCGTGCGGTGGAAGTCCGGTGGTCCTTTGACAAGTGCCAGGAGTCCACGGCAGGTACGGCACGGGGGTGGGTGCGCACGTGGGACCTCTCACGCCGTGCTTCTGATCCGGCCAGCCCACCCGCCAGCCCACCCGCAGCCCACGCACACGCGGAAGGCGGGCGCTCTGAGCAGCCACCTCGTGGATTCTCAGACGCCCTATCGTGTGAGCCGGCAGAGCCTGGCCGTCTAGTGTCGGCTTCGGTTCCTTTGGCAGTTCTGTGCCGAGGAGGATTTCCTCACATCTCCTGGGCGCCACGTAACAATGAGTTTTGTATTGTGCTGTCGTGGCCTCGTGTGGCATCTCTAACTGCTTAATGTCTGCTTCTAGGGGTGACCATCAGTCGGGTTTTGCACACCTTGGAGGTGTTGGATCGGCACTGTTTTGACCGGACTGATTCCAGCAATTCCATGGAGACGCTTTACCATAAGATCTTCTGGGCACACCAAAATAAAGATAACCACGAGGTAGTCATTTGTTTCTTCTTCTCACCTTTCCATGGTGTATTTTCTTCTCTTTCATTTCATCCGTGTTGCCAAAGCCTTTTCAGTGACGTGTCATATCTTAAGAAGGGGTCGGCGCCCTGAAATCGTTCTGTTGCAGGACTGAAAAGTCCCATCGTTATAAGAACGAAATGTCCATTGTGCCGGCCTACCGAGGTGAAGGGGAAGATTGTTCTTCCTCCTTTTACGTCATTCCCCGTCATTTTCGTTTTAGCAGGATACCCTTCATCTTGTGATTGGACTTTGTGTAGTGGTTTGGCTTTAACTTAGGGGAATCGATTTAGCACATCAGAGGACAGTGAATGACCACTTGTGGTTTTGCTCTTTGAAAAATATGTAGACAATGTATCATGCAGGATTCTGCAGACAATGTATCATGCAGGATTCTGCAGACAATGTATCATGCAGGATTCTGCAGACAATGTATCATACAGGATTTTGCAGACAATGTATCATACAGGATTCTGCAGACAATGTATCATACAGGATTTTGCAGACAATGTATCATACAGGATTCTGCAGACAATGTATCATGCAGGATTTTGCAGACAATGTATCATACAGGATTCTGCAGAGAAACAGAACCAGTAGGGGGAAAGTTATATATATTTATATGGGTGAGAGAGCATTTGCAGTCATTTGCTACATAACAATGTTCCAGTCGATGACAGCATATATGACATTGGTCCCGTAAGGTTATCATGGAGCTGGAAAATTCTCATTGCCTAGAGACACGATGGCCATCGTAACATTGTAGCATGACGCATTGCCCCGCGTTTGTGGAGATGCTGGTGTAAACACCCCTACAGCGCTGCCTGTCCTATAAAAAGTACAGGACTATAAAACGTTCTACTTAATAATGACGATAAACCGACTGTGTTGCTGGTTTGTGTAGTTTTATTGTCCTTTTAGAGTGTACTCTTTCTACTTATAAAGTGTGGCATAAAACTGTTGTACGAAGGCAGCAGCAGCCTCAGCTGCCCCGTGTTGCCCGTGTCTGATGGCGTCATTTTCTCTTGTGCCTGATTTGAGCTCATGTTTTTGTGCAATACCGTGTGGCCCAGGCTTGTGGCCCAGGTGCACAGTGGGTGCGACCGCCTGGCTTTGTGTGAGTGCGCTCTGGGGAAGTCGCTTATGGTGCATTTCTCAGGAACGATCCCGGTTGTTAAGGGGTATTTGAGGCATCGGCTCAGGTGGTTATGGAAGCCAGCAGATCTGAAAGGTGCAGGGCAGGCCAGTAGTGGGGGGAGGCAGGGAAGAGCTGATGTTGCAGCTTGAGTCTGAAGGTGGCTTGGGGGCAGAATTCCTTCTTCCTTGGGGGACTTGTATTTTCTCTGGAGGCCTTTAGCTGACTGAATGAGGCCCACTCAGGTTATGGAGGGTAATCTGCTTTGCTAAGTTTACTGATTTAAATGTTATTCACATTAAAAAAAAAACCTTCATCGAAATTGGAGTTTTATTAAAAACACTGGGTACTATAGTCTAGTTGACACATAAAGTTAACCATCACGTAGACCATTAAAAAAATTTTTTTTCTTCATTGATATTAGAGAGGAAGGGAGAGGGAGAGATAGAAACATTGATGTGAGAGAACATGGATTGGTTGCCTCCTGCATGCCCCCCACTGGGGATCAGCCCACAACCTGGGCATGCGCCCTGACCGGGAATCGAACTGGCGACCTCTTGGTGCAGGGTCGACGCTCACCCACTGAGCCACACCAGCCAGCCTAGACCACATTTTTTTTAAATTTTATCCTCACCTGAGGACATTTTTCCATATTTTGTTCAGATAGTGGGAGTGGGGGGGGAGGAGAGAGAGAGACAGAGAAACATTGATGTGAAAGGGACACATCGAGTGGCTACCACCTGCACAACCCAACCAGGGCCGGGGACAAACTGCAACCGAGGTATGTGCCCTTAGCGGGAACCAAACCTGGGTCCCTCCAGACCGCAGGCCGACGCTCTAACCGCTGAGCCAAACCGGCCAGGGCTGGATCAGACCACTTTTATCACATGCTTTCCTAGCAATAGATTATTTCATTATTGAACTGCTCTATAAACATCAGATTTTCAGTTATTTATTTATCTGTCACCTCTGTTTTGGGAGAAATAAGAAGTGTGCCCAAGTCATGCGAGGCAGCAGGAATGCAGAGGGAAGTCCCAAGACACGATACCCCCTTCAGGGAACACCTGGGGGAGTGGTCGTAAGCATGTTTGGTTTTCACACTCGCCTTTGGGAACGGGGCTCTGGAAAGAAGAGATAAAGCAGAAAGAACTGCCGCAGACCCTTCGCCGTCCTACCTTTCTGTGAGGTTTGTGAGCCTTTTCCAGATCGGTTCTCTGTTTGGAACCTTTGGGGATCAGTACCTTCCCTCGCACATAAGCTTCAGGAACATCGATGCCAGGTAGGTAGGTGTCAGCAGGTGGAGGCGAGGTAGACGAGAGTCATCTCTAACCCACGTGGTCTCAGCCGAAATGCTCCAGTCCTCCGGAGAGCACACCGATGAGAAGTCTGCGCATCCTCCGCTCCTCGACACAGGAGAGTGTACTGTGTCCTGTGGAGGGGGACGCCTCACAGTCGATCTTTTGTAGTGCAGAGTCTCAGGCAAAAGGCTTCAGGAGCGCTGAGATCTCTGATGCGCCGAAAAGCGGGGCTGCCGAAGGTGCGGGGTGTGCTTTTGGGTTGCTAACTGCACCGAGTGCTGAGAAAAGACCGCATCATTCCCGCGTGGGGGTCCCCCCGTCTGTGGGCAGCCTGACGCTGTACCCTCATGGTGACCGAAGTGGCCGGCCTCGGGATGACACGCCGCACGCGTGCGCAGACTTCGGTTCCTCACAGGCACTCGAAAGGGAATGGTCACGAGTGTCGTTGCATCAAAGGCAGAAATTATACTTGATGCTTCTGAATACAATTATGTCATCCGCCGCTCTCTCAAGCACAGTTGTCTCCGATGCGGGTGCTGGAGATGGTCCACTGGGGTGCAAGGGGTGATCGGAACTTCTGTTTAGGTGACATTCGAAAACAGCCTTACATGTTTTCTGCTAAGGGCCATTCAGATGTTCAGGACATCACTCTCAGGCCACAAGGACGATCAGCTTAAACGTCGGCTGCCCTGTGTGGTCCGGCCCCGTTGATGAGGCTGAGGCTGATTTCAAGGCCCTTCTGCAGCTCAGGGCCGACGTCCCCCACTCCTGCTACAAGCAGTTCTGTTTTGTCTAAGTTCGATAACGAGCATATTAGTGTAGAAATCAATGTGTTTAGTGGGAGTGTTTAAAGAAAATACCGAGCTGAAAGGGTATGTGAGAGATGTTTGGAGGTCCTTGGGCTAAGCCTCTGACGGGACCTCACCCAGCACGCAGGAGGTGTGCCACTAGAGGGCGGCCTTGCTCAGGGCCCAGCCCCAGCTGCACACACGCCTCCTTGGAAAGAACGCAGTGTTGCCAGTTCGGAGTAATTATGTTGCCTGTTAACTCAGCTCTGCAGAGGTTGGATGTGAATGGCGGTGGCTCTGTAGTTACTCTGCCGCTTTATGAGTCAGACAAACACTCCTTGTTCACCTATAATTCGGACCGGTAACCTTTTCTTAATGATGGGTCAGAGAATACCTGGGTGGAGCCTTCTGAAACACTGAGCAGTCAGTCAGGTTTACAGCGCGGCTCTGGCGTCTGCGTGGGCGCGGATCCGTGCATGCACACGGACAGGCACGCGAAGGGCAGCGTTGCATTTCTGTTCCCTCACGGGCCTTGCTGTTGTCTTGGCTTCTGAGTCACCCCATGTATCTCTGGAACTCATGCGTGAGCTTGGCCGCGGCACTGACTCTGCTCAGCGGCGTGACCTTGAACGCGTTCCCGATGGGCTCGCCTTAGTGCCCTTACTTGTTAACCCGCGTAGAGCACTTGACCCGCCGTCCCTAAGGAGACAGGAACACTTTCCAAATGATGAAGCACTATGTAAATGTTTAAACTTCTTCTTATTATTTTTTAATAACCTCAATCATCATTCTTTTTTTTTTTTTCTTTATTGATTTTAGAGAGAGTGGAAGGGAGGGGGGGAGAGAGAAACATCGATGAGAGAGAACATCGACTGGCCGCCTCCTGCACGCCCCCCACTGGGGATCAGGCCCACAACCTGGGCATGTGCCCTGACCGGGAATCGAACTGGACCTCTTGGTGCAGGGTCGACGCTCAACCACTGAGCCACACGGGCCGGACTAAACTTGTTACTGTTAATAGTAATTATTACTAGGGTCATATCAGAAGAACCGGTGTAGTGTTGTAGTGGAGGGGATAATTCTCTGACAAGGACGAGTGGTATAAGGTGGTGTGGCTAGTATTCTGAAACCCATCTCTCTTCTTTAACACGCACTTCCCCTTCTGGTTTTACCATGTGTTAGGACGCAGACGGCCTGACAGGATAGAAACTGAGCAGTGGGTTTGAGGTTTGCCTTCGCCGAAGTCGTGTTCGGGGCCTGGATGGCCTCTCTCCTCACATCTGCTTGGGGACTTGGACTTCCCTGTCCTCAATTCCCGTTTCTCTGGAGCTGCGGCGGGGGCGGGGGGATGCTGTCCTCTCCATTCTCTTTGGGAAGGGGAAGCCGCTGTCCAGATGGGCGAGGGGTCAGGAGTTCAGGTTTGTGTTGTGTCATGTCGCCGTGTCCGGTGCCAGCCCGTTGGACGCGGTGATGCAGGGGGTGTGGGGTTCCGGCCTCGGTCCTGCCCGTGGTCGCACTTCGGTCACAGGGAGTAGCAGCTGGCACTGTGCCTCCAGGGGGTGTGCCAGGCCCGTGGCCGCTGTCTCTCCGCATGGCGTGAACCGTTCCTGTGCCCTCCCCGCCCGCTGCCCTCCAGGCCCTGCGCTGCTGCTGCTGTGCCGGGCGTGAGAGCTGAGTCCCAGCGCCCTCGGGTCGTCCTCGGCCCGTGCCCTTGACCTCGGTGCAGTGCGGTGAGGTGTGGACCCGGCAGTG